GGCTACCGTGACCGGCAGTGTATAAGAATAATATATAAGAATTCAGTTCGTACCTCACAGGAAACAGATCCGAACCCAGGATCCCGGTTTCCAAGCGAGCGAAGACAGTGCATGCCTTAGACCGCTCGGTTACTGTGACCGGCTAATTTGGTGTTTTCCTAACAGAAATTTGTAGATGAGGCTTCATTGCTTGAAACAGTCGAAGTTACTTTAGGTGACCAGATCTGATAATGACATTGTAACAGGAGATCACGCAGTCTACCATAACTGACTGTAAAAAAAAATCAAAACAGTTTCAATGGACGAATCAGGAAATCCGTCATGACATAAGAATCAATCGAGCGGAATATGCCACCCAATAAATCGATCGCAACAGACAAATCGATATGTTTCAACAGGCATTTTAACTGACTGCTAGATAGCTGATGGCTCTCGCCAGCACAGTGATTCTTGGTTCTGAACCCCACGAGAGAAGAGTACAAGATATGAAGCTCCTCATTATGCAGTTGTCTCCAGCCAGCTTAGGTCGTTTATCCAAGGAATCCGTCCAGATCCGAGGTTTTGTTTTCATTTTCGTAACATAATTATTTTTTACGGTGAGGAGTTGTTAGCCTCACGCCCAACTCCAAAGCTGGAGGCTACCCCTTGTCGGCTGTCCGCGACTGCTTATTCAATATATTCACAGCCTCCCTCCAAAACTAGAGTTCGTCTCCTATATCCGCAACCTGAGGACGCGTCATGCCGCAGTGACAGGGACCCACCTAACATGGAATATTAACATTTTGAACTACGCGTACGTTTTTTTGTACTTTCACGACTAAACGAAGGTTATGGTTCTTTATACGAACGTACAATAAACGTTTACGAGTTTGGAGTGTTGTTACAACGATACATGTAGGTATGTCTACTGCCATCCACATAAATGTTCTCTTGGAATCGTGTTTTGTCTGATTAAGGAAATTGTGTATCGTTACTGTGTTTGCACCGACTAAGTTAGCCTAAATGTTGACGCTTTTACTTTATGTTTGAATGATGCTAGTTTCGATTCTAAAGTCGCGTCCACATTACTCGTGCTCGTCCTCGCCAGGCTTGTGCTCGTCGGGAGACTCGTCTGGCTTTTACTTGTGCTCGTAAATCTTCGTCCACACTACTTCAGTTGCTCGCGTGAGGATCCGTATATTTACTCGTAGTGTGTATAGGCTGTAGTCGTATTTTAATTTATTGGCTATAGTTTTTAAATTTAAAATTTAAAATTTGTGTGTCTCGTGACTTGTCATATCGTCCACATTACTCGCGAGCATAGCGAGTTACACGAGCACGAGAACAAGCACAAGTAATGTGGGCGCGTCTTAAGCTGGGGTACCTAATATCCTAAGAATCTTCTTGGCTACCCCCAGTTACTTTACGCAAATTTCGGGGCGGTACCCTTAAACAAACCACGATCACTGCTTCTCACGTATCTCGCAATTTCTCATCCATTAATCATCTTACCATTTGACGCTGTGTGGTCAAATGCCAAATTTGTCATTTGTAATCGAATTCAGGCTCGCCAACCTCATATTACTGAGCACACATGATATGGCCTCTAAAATCAGAATAATTTGGTATACTCGTATATGCATCAATACGGAATGAAGAGAATTCTGTCTTCTGGGATGTTATTGAATGTAGTCCTTTGGAAGTCAGCCTACGTTTCAAAATAGAGCTCTAATATCTGCCTGCTTCATACTGGATTCCTGCTTAATTTACTTATCGGTTCTGAAGAAAGAGGTAATATTTCTATCCGAAACATTTGTTAACTTTCACCGGGCTACGGGGCATTCCATCCAACAATATAGAACTCTTCATTGTTAGTGCTGTAAGAATATTTAATCATACGTATGTGATAAAATATAAGAAATTTCCTTTTCAGTTTTGTGCCTCAAACTTGGTCAGTCAATGAATATGTCTGAGACCAGGATGCTGAGGTTTGGACCCAAGAGGGATAAAGTAGAGTCGCGAAAATTTCATATTGAGGAGCTTCATAATATGTAACTTTCGCCAGATATTATAAATATGATCTAATCAGGAAAAATGAAAGGGGCTAGTCTTGTAGCACGCATTGGACAGAAGCGACGTACAACAGTGAAAGTTTCTTTGTAGGAAATATTGAAGGAAAAGGACGGTCTGGTAGACACAGGCATAGCCGGGAGTATAATATTAAAAAAAAGTCTTAAAGAAATATGATGGTAAATTTCGGAGTGGATAATATGGAGTCGGGTAGTTAACTATTGCGAGCCCTGGTGAATACGACAGTTAATCTTTGTGGTCCATCAAGACGTCTGAATTTCTATATTTTTTGTTAGTTTCACAGATAATATTATGATCGATGTTGGTTTTATTAGTTAATTAGTTAATTACATAGGAACCAGGCAAAGAATTCTCACGGATTATCTCTCCTTCCTTCTTCCCTCTCATCTTACGCTTCCCTTACTTCACTCCCACTCGCCTATTCGATTATTTTCTCTGTTTTTTAATTCTTGTTTGATGATTTTATTATATTCAGATAACTTTCTCTCTGTAGTAGCTCTTATCCCCACCGAACGTGAGAATTCTTTGGCTGTCTCAGCTATAGTTATGTGAAGATTACCCATGATTCGTTTCGAGCTGAAACGGTGGTAAAAACGGCAGGTGCTGTTCCCAACGAAGCAGTTTATCCCCACTTCCGCCTACATATTCCTTTCACTTTCCTAGACCTCGGTCCACACGAAATATTTTTGAAGATGGAACGCCTCCATCGTGAATGTTCCGCAGAGATTTGCCAATCCTCGCTCTCAAATTCACAGTCACCGTATCGAGTCTGTCCAGTAGCAACACAGCTCGACCACAGCTCGTTGCTTACACATCCAGATCCGTGGACTGTGCCCGGAGGAAGTAGTCGATGATTCCAAATATTCCTCTTGCGACAAAATATAGTCTTGAAAAGTGAACTTCCGTAATATCTTGACGTGTCTGTATAACGACAATTAATAGAGAGATTGTTACTGAAAATAGTACTGTTACAATTTTTGAACAGAATACTTAAAAGTATCCAGGTTACAATATATGTAGTTATGTTTATATGCATAATGGTTCTCTATGTTTTGTGCGCGCCCGAAGTGAAATATTCCCGTACTGCCAGTGTTCGGTGTGAACATGGTCGTTGAAAGAAAAATGTTAAGAATATTACTGCGTAGTGATCTGAAGTTGTAAGGTCATTACTGACTCTAGTATCTCGATTCAAACTGTGTACCAGTGCCATCTTGTGGTCAGAAGTCCATCTGCTTTATGACCGTCATATCTTATGCAAGCAACGTGCTGAAGAATGGTCCTGTGTTACATAAATTTGAATTTTCCACTGTCTACTGTATAGAATACAGTAAACTCTCATTAATCTAATTAATTAATCTAATTAATTCTATGTAAGATTTGAGGTTTTCACGGCGGTGACTATGAAGAAAGCAGTCTTCTGGGATTTGGCACCGTGTATATGTGGTGTTAAGCGACGTTTCGGAGGAACGTATAGCCTCAATCTTCAAGGTAGAAGGAAAAATATAAGAAATCCGCAAACGAAAGACCGTGAGAACCGGCCTGAAACGTCGGTTAACACCACATATACACGGTGCCAAATCCCAGAAGACTGCTTTCTTCATAGTCACCGCCGTGAAAACCTCAAATCTTACATAGAATTAATTAGATTAATTAATTAGATTAATGAGAGTTTACTGTATTCTATACAGTAGACAGTGGAAAATTCAAATTTATGTAACACAGGACCATTCTTCAGCACGTTGCTTGCATAAGATATGACGGTCATAAAGCAGATGGACTTCTGACCACAAGATGGCACTGGTACACAGTTTGAATCGAGATACTAGAGTCAGTAATGACCTTACAACTTCAGATCACTACGCAGTAATATTCTTAACATTTTTCTTTCAACGACCATGTTCACACCGAACACTGGCAGTACGGGAATATTTCACTTCGGGCGCGCACAAAACATAGAGAACCATTATGCATATAAACATAACTACATATATTGTAACCTGGATACTTTTAAGTATTCTGTTCAAAAATTGTAACAGTACTATTTTCANTTAGACCGCTCGGCTACCGTGACCGCCTTCTAAGTTTTTAGGACAATCTTTTGCTTTATTAAGAAGGATTATCACTTCACCCGGATGACGTCTCCCTCAATTTAATACGACGGAAAAGTATAGGAAAAGACCAGGTCAGAATTGAGACCAGATTACAAAGAGCCGAGATACAAAGCGATACGAAAGATTACCGAGGTTAGCGATGCATGAATGTTATAACAGTTGAAGAAGAAATGTCTGAAGGCGTTGTAAGTCCGAGTGATTGTGTTAGTGAGTGTAAACAGGCGAGTGTCCAGTAAACATATTCGTCTAATCCGAGACCACACAATTTTCTTGTCGCGTTACCTAGGAAACACGCCATAATTTAAAACATATGAGACTTATGTGGGACTATAACTGACACAGTGGACATGATGAAAACAAATAAAAGGAGACTGCAACTAAACATACCAGAAAAATACCACATCTAAACATCAGTAAAAACAAGCTATACACGAACAATACATACATCGATATAAACCGATATTTCAATCATTACAAAATTTAAACACTAGATAGCAGCACACACACGCTATCCGCCCCATATAAAACCGAACCAGCTATACACAACGCTCATTACACCTACACACGGCATAACGGAGAGACACACAAAAGTAAGTAAACATTCAACTGAATTAAATGTAACATAAATATATTACATACATAATAGTAACACAGCTCATAATTATATGTTATAGATATATCGGTCTACAAAACATGCTGTGAATAAACGAAATTATAATTCGAAGTTTAAACTTAAATTCATAAAATCTGGGAAGTGTTTCGAAAAGAGTTAGGACAGTGCATAAAATTTCTATAATTTCTCCAACAATTTTAGTGCACTGATGACGGCCAAATAGATTTGAACATGCCGTACAATAGATGTGTTGAATAGAGATATACAGCTTAAAACAACTGAGAGTTTTCAAAATTAAATTTCAGAAGTTTTTATGTGAGTTGTACGTGAGACAGCTGTAAATACAGCAATAAAATGTGACTGGCTTTTATGTTGTTCCCGGCCTAAAAGTGAGGTGCTGTTTTCAGTCAACTCTACTTTCTGGAAATGCAGCTTCACCCTCTTATTGTATTGTATTGTATTGTATTGGAGAGGGTAGGTTTCCCCATGCACTTAGACCAACTGTTGGTCCATTGTGCATCCCCCTATGATATTCTACCCGTCTCTATTCCCTACCGGTACTGGTGCGTACCATCAGTCCCGACTCAGCCAGCGAGTTCGGCCTCTACTGGCTCAGCGGTATCTCGATGCTTCCCCATCTACCAGAGGCGTTAGAGATTACTGTTGGACGGGAAATGTCCTGAATTTGGCTCAATGGTCCCTTTGGGACATGAGGTTCTTTTACCTGCCGTAAAGCTACGACACGGGACCCACGGCTTAAAGTCCCTCCCGGAGGACTTGTTCCCTGAATTTTTCCGCCCTTAAAAATTCCACGACCTCCGCCGGGTTTGAACCCGCGTACCTTGAGCTTCACCCTATCACCTGCTTGCATCTCTTAATTGCATGGATCAAGCTTTTGCCGGCCTTGTTTTCGGGAAGAAATGCTCAGTGGAATGGCCCCTGGGTCACCTGACTTAAAATTATGGATTTCCTTTTGAGGTAGAGTGGTGAAAAACAAAATATTTACACGTAAACCTAGGACAATTGGAGACCTGACGACTTATATCGAGGACACTTACTATAACATTGACATGAATTATGGATTCCGTGCTTATGTAATACCGTCCAGTCTGGTGACCATTTTTTAATACTCGTACTTTAAGACCTAGTTATGTATGTGTGCATGTATAAGTCGTGTAAATTAAATAATATGATTATTGAATTAATTCCTCATTTCAAATGTGTCATAACGTTTCCTCTACTCTCTATGCATGTGTGTGTATGTGTTTGTGTGTCCTGAACACGCATCACATTATCATATTCTTACTTACTTACTTACTTATGGAGCTGAGCCCTTCTTGAGGAGCCGCCAAATCTGGAGCCTCTCAAGAATTTCCCAGCATTTTATGGAACCCGAAGGTTCATAACCGTGTTCATAAGAACCCTCCACTGGTCCATATCTTGAGCCAGAGCAATCCAATCCATAACACCCAATTCTATCTCTCTAAGATTCATTTTAATATTGGCCACTCACTTACGCTTTGGTCTTCCCAGTGGTTTCTTTCCTTCTGGCTTTCCCACCAATGTCCTACATGCATTTCTCGTCTCCTCATTCGTGCTACCTGCCCTGCCCACCTCATCCTCCTTGACTTGATCATTCTAATTATACTTGGAGTAGAGTACAAGTTATGAAGTTCCTCATTATGAAGTTTTTCCAACCTCCTGTCTCTTCATCCCTCTTCGGCCCAAATATTCTCGTCAACACCCTGTTCTCAAACACCCTCAGTCCATGCTCCTCCCTTAATGTCAGAGACCAAGTTTCACTCATACAGAACCACGGGCAAAATTATAGTTTTGTATATTCTGATTTTTATGTTTTTGGACAGCAGACGAGAAGATAAAAGGTTCTGGACTGAATGGTAGCAAGCATTACCTGAGTTCAATCTCCTCTTAATTTCCTCCTGAATCAGGTTTTGATTTGTTATCATCGTTCCCAAATATCTGAACTGTGCCACATTTTCAAAACATCTCTTACCTATCTTTATGTCACGAAATTTCCCTGCATTCTGGTGACAAGACAGCAACATATGCTCAGTTTTCTCTAAGCTTATTTCTAGATCAACCCCCTTACTAGCCTCAATTAAAGTTTGTGTGATTAAATTTATGTTATCTACATTATCACACGGTAAATTCAAACCATCGGCACAGACCAGCAGCTGATGCATCACCACACTCTCGGTCTTCAAATTGGGGGCTTCATTTCAGACCACAAACTTCGCTGGTTATGGAGTACAGAAAATTTTTTCATCTCTATTGTGTTTATTAGGAAATATTTTCTAAATCCCTATGTAGTTCTTATAAAATGCCAGTAGAGGTCACATATATCAGATATACACATTTTTGTAATGGTTAAATTTTCAACACCAGCCCTTGGGGATTTGAAACAGCTGTAAAATTTGTATGCTGTAACCCACCTGCATATTAACGCCTTCTCCGGCGCCGTCCAAACGTCCTTCTGCAGCGTCCGTTAGCCTTCTTGAAGCCGGTTTCACACTTTCCGTTTATAAGAGGTGCATCTATCATTGACCTTAACTCCAGCTCTTCCTGAAGCGTAGTGTTAACTGAGTCTTGAGGCAGCGTTGATGCTTCGACTTGTTGGTCATCTTCAGAAGAACCCGGAATATAAGTCGACAAACCGTACGTCGAGAGTCGAACCGTAGGTAAGGGTGTAACCACTGATTCTTGCTTTTGTTTCGGAAGAAGTACCGTATGAACAATATTTCTTATTTGGCCCACGATATCAAAATTAATTAAGTGACAATGAACATGTGTAAAATGCGACATAAATGCCAACATTATAACAAAATAAACCGGCTGACACATGAATTTCATGTCTAGACTGTAGTTTTGAATGTGTAAGTTATTTGTATCTCAGCTTAACACAGAACTTGATTTATCACGTAACTTTTTCACGTAATTACGATATTACGTATCAGAAAACGTCCTAGAATTCTCTATAGTTAACACTTGGCAGATTCAAGCTAAAATCTAACTGATTATTTAATTTTTCATGTTATGATAGGATGTATTTACTTTCTTATAAAACAGTCCAAGTTTCTTCGATAAGGAATATGTCAGTTGTAAAGCCACTTGCTTATGATTAGATGATATTGCATGGTTGCACTAATTGCAGTTGCTGTTGACTGCCACAGAATGTTTGGTTTTATTGCTGCCTGTTCTCAGGTTTACATTAATACAGCAGATATTGTGTTCATCAGTTCTTTTATAGCCGCCAGGAGATTCCTCTTTCGCGATATATTATAATATAATTCGCCAATTTATTCCTACGCGATATTTGGAATTCTAGTAACTGAGGTCATAGGCCATTATAACGTGATAAGAGAGTTCATTATATTTAGCGGTGACATTGACACACTGAAACAAATTATTATTTTATTCAAATAATTTTCTAGGGTTTAATTTTTCTTTTTTCTTTAGTGTGCAAAGAACGTTAAATCTTAGAATTTAAAGTTAAACCCGACACATCTTTTTTCCATAACCAGCGAAGTTCAGTGTCAAAAAATAAAATCCCCAATTTAAAAATCGAGGATATGATAATGTGCTGCGTGGTCAGGACCTTGTCACACCTCAGGATTCTGTAGTGGATGTGTATGAAGCAATGGTGGTGTGAAGATTAGCAGAAAACATTGAATAAATTCGAAAAAAAAGCATGCTTTGAAACATATTCGAGAGGCCTGAACACTCACAAAACAAAAGAAGGTAACGCCGGGAATCGAACCTGGACATCTGGATCTGTAGCTAGAAACTCTGACCACTATACCGCAGAGGCGACGTTTCGAATAACAAAATATATAAAGTAGTTCTTTCATAGTGTCGGCTATATCTTCTGATGTTGGCTAATAGTGATCTTCGTATTAAACTAGTTAAAACTTCGTAGATGTGTAACGGGTTGATATCTCCCTTTAAAATATATGGTCAATACACCTTCCTTTTAATATCCGCTAACAGAACAGGGGTTTCATACACTTCATTCAGTTCCTGGTTGATCATGGTCAGCAATTGGTCCGTACACCTTCTTCAAAATTTCTTTTCTCCCAAATGTTCAACATGCCTGTATCCTTTTAAGTCATGGACCATATTTCGCGTCAGTAAATGATAATTGGTTTTAATTTTTTGGTATTTATAAGGGTATTATCTACTGTGATGTGATGCCGTGTAGTCTGGTAGTCATATATTTTAATACACGCTGTTTCTTATCCCCCCTCGTTGTTGTCTCCACCTTAACGTGGTGAGGGGGTTTGAGTATGCCAAGGACCCTGAGAGCTATACCAGCGGTAGCGTAGCTACTGGCAGGGCCTCCCTTGCTGGACAGGTCAAAGGGTAGGCATCAGACGAAGAGAGACACCAAAAACCAAAAACTGATGCCGGAAGCAGCGTCATCAGCAGCGACTTGAAGCACAGAGCAAATGATGCTCGAGATGGTTCAAGTTCGTATAGNGAAGGAGAAAGCTTGAGATCGCATTAAGTGGAGGAACTGTTTTGGAAGAGACTGTGGACCTGTCGTATGACAGATTACCGATGAATGAATGAATGTTTCTTATCACAGTTTTCTCTCCGCTGTATTCCACAGGTTCTCATGTAATTTAGCCTCATTTTCTGTATGGGTTTTGTACCAATACTATGCAATAACGTCTTAATTTATTTAATTGTGGTTATTTATGTGAACATCTGTTTACATCTCACAATTGGAACAACCAATTAGGAACATTGGGCCTTGCGATGACCTCTTGTCTGATGACGTATTAGAATCAGTTGACCTCTGTGACCGAATCTCCTCTGATGTAAGCAGGAAGGGGTCGCTGGTGACAGAAAATGAGGATGAGTAATTGGTGAACCGAGTTTAAATTCAGTGGACTTTGCAAATGATAACGCAATTTCTTTTTTTTTTATTATTCGCAGTGAAAAGTCACAAATGTTTTCTTATTAGCTTTGTCGTGTGTCTGTTCTGTGTCTGACGGATATGCCTGCAACATGTAGGGAAGGGCTGAAAGGATTTTAATGAAATTTCGTATTTGAGGGTTTCCAAATAAATTTATCAGTACATTGCAATTCTAGATAAAATATATCGCCAATAATGGAATCTTTTAAATAATGACTTACATGAATTTCTGATAGCAAATATAACTTCACTCAATGAATATTTATCGAAGAGAAAAATGTCTCGAACAAACTTGTTGCATATGCATATGCAGATGACCTTGTGTTAATGGCTAAGGAAGAAACTGTGCNATATTTTATGGCCAATATACACAATTTTAGTGTTTTACAGGATGTAATCAAGCAGTAACAACTGAAGGGGTCAGAAACTTAAAACTCTTCAGACATTTCTTGGCTCATTTGTTTTGCCCACTGTATGCATATATCCGTCAGTAGCGGTCAGTAGCGGTCAGTAGTGGTAAGTCGCAGTCTTTTAGATGATTTCCTGTTTATTGAATAGCTGCATTGGAATTTCGAACGCAGTGACCTGAGGTTTAAACACTAAGTTACTATCTCTAAGCCCTCTCGTATATGATCAGGGGATGGTGGTCACGCAACGGGAAAAGGGCTTCGTCAGGTTATTTTCCAAACGATATTTCATCCGGCTTTTCAGTGAGGATGCAGTTATTAAGATTGTTTACATTACGTTCGACCCGTTTAATCAGGATAGAAACTTATTTTTATTCATTTAATTTTCTATAACCCCCCCCCCTTTCCTTTGGCGCTATAGCCCCAATTTGGGCCTTGGCCTACCTCCATGAAAATCACCGTTTCACTTCGGTTTACTGGATTTTAGACATTCGGTAGGACTCGTTGTGCGGGTGATCAGCACGTCGCAAGGCCTCTACCTGTACACAAACAAAGAAAGACACACAAATACTGAACATCCATGCTCTCAGTGGGATTCGAACCCACGATCGGGCTTCCAAGCGAGCGAAGACGTTGCATATCTTAGACTGCTCGACTACCGTGACCGGCGGTGTATAAGAATAATATATAAGAATTCAGTTCGTACCTCACAGGAAACAGATCCGAACACACGATCCCGGCTTCCGAGCGAGCGAAGACGTTCACTCGGCACGGCGGCCACTGATTGGCCTATTGTACCCTGCCCTGGGTGATTATGATGATGGAGAATTTGGTGGAATGAAGATTGGCATGGAAAACCGAAGTACTCGGAGAAAACCCGCCCAAGCGCCACTTTGTTCACCACAAATCCCACTTGACCAGACCAGGGATCGAACCGGGGCCGCCGAGGTGGGAAATCAGCGACTAATCGTTTGAGCTATGGCGCGACCTCTGGATCTCTCTTAGCAGAACTCGAAATTCAAAAATGTCTACACGTAAAACTTCAAGGTCCGCCGTTGAACATTATCACCTTATATCTATTTTGAAAATCAATTTCAAACCGTCCACATTTGTCATGCTCCTGTCTCTTTCCTTGTCCCATCCTAACAATCTCTTGTTATGTAATATCCTAAACTGCTTATTGACTTCATCCTTCTTGAGTTAAAATATTTTTCCGGGAAAGAAGTCAACTTAGATTTTCAATATAATGTTTATGTAGAACATCCGGATGTTTGTAGACTTGCTGTAAGGAAATCTGAATCTTTCGTGTGGAATCTTTAAGATTTATTCAATGTCAAATGATAAACAAATATCGGTCGACCTTCAGATTATGTGGGGAATTTTGCGCTTATAAATACGTGACATTAAAATCTCTATGCAGTTATTTCAAAATATATTCAGAGCAAATAACTTCACTACAGTTGCTGTCTCTTAAGACTTACGTCGTTTTGAGCATTCTGGTTCTGGCTAATATCTTGATTCAGGGGGTGCTAACAGCTGATAATAGTTCGGAGTCTAATTCGGACAGAAAGGGAAATTAGAGTACAGGAAAAGTTTTCGCCTGTTTAACATTACGTTAATGTAAGTATTACAGTTGTGAATGATAATAATAATTTATTACTATATAGTAATATTAGTGTGGTTTCAGAGGGAGGTCTCATATGCATTATGGACTTTCATACCATTAACTTCCTTCCTTCCCCCCTTACCTTTCCATCTCTCACAAATTCTACCTACTTACTTACTTACTTACTTACTTAATCCGTTCCTCTTAAACCTTTACGGTGTCTGTTTCTTTTCTTTTTCAATTTGATCATTTTACAGACGGTAGGACTCCTTGACGAGAGGTCAGCTCGTCGCAAGGCCTCTACCTAAATACAGGACAACACAAACACAGAATAAACACGTACACATACCAAACATCCATGCCTTGTGTGGGATTCGAGCCCATGATCCCAGCTTTAGAGCGAGCAAAGACAGAACATGTATTAGACCTCTCGGCTAACGTGACCGGCGTACCAAAAATTAAAAAAGTAAAGCTACCCCTGTAACAGGCCATGAAGCCCCTTAGGGTTGTGAGATGTTGAGGTTCCCACATTTTCTAGACAATCGGCTTACAGGTGACGGTAAAGTTGTCAGCCTTACGCGCCGGCCGCGCTTTATTCCGCGGGAGTTATTTAATTAATTCCTGGTATTCATTTCTGTTAGAGGCTGAGTCAACCCCAGGGCCAGGATTAGGTAAATCGAAAAAATCCAATGACCTCAACGGGACTTGAACCCGCGACCTTCCGGCTTGTAGCATAGTGCCTTAACTAACTACGCTACCGCGTGCCCCGGCATCCCACAAATAAGAAAGATAAATAGTCGCTCATATATTATTTTGAAGAATGCCGTCTTCTGAGAAGTGGCGCCGTGTAGATATTGTGTGAATCAATGTTTCGGAGGAACGTATCGCCTCAATGTTCAGGGTAGAAAATCCCCCCCCCCACGAATACGATCCTACGCCGGCTCTGACCCGCCCTCTGCTACCTGCTCGCCCATCTCTACAGACTCTACCCTTCTCCTCTCTATTAAGTTCCCATGTGACCCACTCTCCCTCCCCCTTCTTCTATAGCTGGGTGTTTTCAACTGCTGGCTCAGTCTGCAGCCACCTCCTCACGCTGGTTCCTCAGTCGCAGATTTTTCTATCTTGTCTTGTTGAAAAGTCAATATATACATATAATGTAGCATGTACAGCCGTTTCTATGCAATGACTGCGAGATAAGCGAAAAAACATTAGCCGTTGTAAACAATGTATCAGGAAACATGTTCCTGCGGCAAATAATAATCACGCAACAATATATTTACTCTCTGAAACAGTGTTTTCCACTCGGACCGTACAAAGCGGTTATAAGGAAGACAACTGGGACGACCCAGTCATTTGATTTCTGCAAAGGAGACTCAGAACACAAGACGCTATACTTCAGTTGGCAGTGAGCTAACAGAGAATAGAATCTTGAGAGTGTGAAGCTGAAGAATCTCCACTGTTAGAAGCCGTTGTAAGGGAACGTCTGGTGAAGGCACAGCAGGCTGGAAAAGCTTAGCGTTTGCTGCTGTGAATTGTGAATTGTGGAGATTAGCGGTGGCGCTGTAAGTGCTTGTTCTCAGTTGGTGGTATAAGTGGTCAATAAACCCATTCACCATTCCACACCCCGTCTATATTCACACACATAATCTTGGCATTATTCCTTAAGCAAGAGCCGGGATAGCTCACTCAGCTTAGTGACCAAATTTTGGGCTGGAAAATCTGAGTTTCGGTTTGTGATCTCCTGAATTGGACAAGATGTTTCTCTTCACTGCCGTGTTGAGACCGGTTCTGGGGCCCACTCAAACTCTTATCTCATTTGTACTGGAGATCTTTCTCTGGAATATAACCGACGGACCTGAAGCTGACCACTCAATACAATTTAATAACAAGGTTCTGTATGCTTGCACCTACATCTCCAGCCCCAACATGCAGTTTTAATAGATCATACTTAACCAAAGACATGAATTATTTCAGCTTGAAGTCTACCTTTACAATCTGAAGCCATTGTAATTTGAATCAATATTTGTCATTTCAGCCACTAAATTTTCAAAATGCTGTCACTGAAAACACTTTTCATATTGGTACTCATCATGGCTGTTATTAATCCCCCCTACTATACCGTGACTGCTGGCAAGCGTGATGGGTCTTCATCGGAGTCATCAGAGTCATCAAAGTCATCAGAGTCATCAGAGCCACGCCTTGGTCATAATGAGTCACACTCTACTATTTCATATAATGAAATTTATGCGAAACCAATACTCATTGTAAGTACGAGTATATGAACTATAATTTTGCCTGTGGTTCTGTATGAATGTGAAACTTGGTCTCTGACATTAAGGGAGGGACATAGACTGAAGGTTTTTGAGAACAGGGTGTTGAGGAGAATGTTTGGACCGAAGAGAGATGAAGTGACGGGAGGTTGGAGAAAACTGCATAATGAGGAGCTTCATAAATTGTACTCTTCTCCAAGTAGAATGATCAAGTCAAGGAGGATGAGGTGGGAAGATCATGTAGCACGAATGGTGGAGACGAGGAATGCATATAGGATATTGGTGGGAAAGCCAGAAGGAAAGAGACAACAGGGAAGACCAAGGCGTAGGTGGGTGGATAATATTAGAATGGATCTTAGAGAGATAGGATGGGATGGTATGAATTGGATAGATCTGGCTCAGGATAGGGACTAGTGGAGGGCTCTTGTGAACACGGTAATGAACCATCGGGTTCCATAAAATGCTGGGAAATTCTTGACTACCTGCTGAATTCGCGGCTCCTCCAGAGGGGTTCAGCTCCATAAGTATGTAAGTAAGTACAAGTATATGAGATTCAGGGTTATTATGGTGGAGCGTGTTAAGATTATGGTCTTTTGGGAAGTGATACCCAGGGATACCAGCTTTTCGGAAGAATGTCCTGCCATATCCCTGAGGAGCCATAAACACCAGAAGCTTCCAGTAAAAGCTTCTATCGGTATTCTGTTGGCAGTGGTCTTTACCTCCGAAGAGAAGACAACTGTACTTTTTTCCTGAAGCGATATACCATTTCCGTATAATCAACATGTTGTCACGTAGTATGTATTTTAGCATAGCGGCCTCCGTAGTCTAGGAGTAACGTTCCCACCTCATGACTCAAGGTACGCGGGTTCAAACCCGGCGGAGGTCGTGGAATTTTAAGGGCAGAAAAATTCAGGGAACAAATCCTCCGGGAGGGACTTTAAGCCGTGCGTCCCGTGTCGTAGATTTACGGCACGTAAAAGAATCTCATGTCTCTAGGAGACCTCTGAGCAAAATTAGGCCAAGTTTCCCGCCCAAGTAGTTTCCAATTCCTCCGGTAGATGGTGGAAGTATCAGGTACCACTGCCAGAGGAGGGGGAACCTCTCAGACAGAAAGGAACTAAAGTATTAGATACCACTGCCAAGTAGAGGGTAGAAACCTTGCTGGCAGAAAGGGACTAGGAACCCCTGCCAGAGGAAGGACGACCTCGCTGACAGAAAGGGACTAACTATTAGATACCACTGCCAGTAAGAGGTTGGAACCTCGTTGGCCAAAAGGGGCTGATAGTAAGCACTAGTACCGGTAGGGTATGGAGACAGTAGAAATTAAAAGGGGGACGCACAATGGACCAGTAACCGGTCTAAGTGCATGGAGAAACCCACCCTCTCAATACGGAATACGGAAATGTATTTTAGCATGGCGGCATAACGATCAAGATCCAACGCTGTTTCCAATCCGACCACTTTTGAAACCAGTTGTCATGTGTGTGACAATAGACGGGGGTTGGATTGCTGAATATATATGTTACAGTGTTTCAGTAATTATAACTCTCTCTCTATTTCCACAATTTACAGTTCACTAGATCACACAGTCGAGTGTTCTCAGTCTGTGATTAAACGTTTCCTCGAAACGGCTCCAACAGTGGCTATTCCTCTGCCTCCGGCTACTTCCGTACAGAACTGACTCGGCCTAACCTTGTCTCTTGCTTATAATATCTCAGCGGGTTAAAAGTACTGAGCATAATTCGTGTGTTCAATTTCTGCGTGCAACTTCTCTTCGAAATATTTGCCCATTTCATGAAGGTGACAACAACTTAAGCACAATATACATGCAGAAGCACATGGACGTGTTCGTGTAAAGTGTCGGAGCTGAACGAAACTTAGGATATTACTGTTTTATTACTAGTGGGGTGGGACTAAGTACCTTGTTCTGTGGACACTTCTGGCCTATTGTACCAGCCCCAGATGATAGGTGAGGGTGACTGTGGAGTAATTTGTGGAATGAAGATTGGCAGAGGAAACCGAAGTACTCGGAGAAAACCTGGCCCAGCGCCACTTTGTCCACCACAAATCCCATTTGACCAGACCCGGGATCGAACCCGGGCCGCCGCGGTGGGAAGGCAGCGACTAACCGCTTGAGCTATGGCGCGGCCTATAAACTTAGGGTAAGCGTAGAGATTTTTAAAATTTCCCAGTATGAAATTCCACGAAAATGCGCTTCGCAATTCTCAAGCTCTACTGTGCATATAAACGGATTCAGGGACAAAGTGATGGGTGTAACGCGTTCCTCAGGGATGCGAACGCTTCTGTAGATGAAGTAAGAACATAATTAAACCGCAAGATGTAGGGATTTGCTTCTTCATGAAGTATATCATTAATATTGCCGTAACATTGTAGTGTAGCAGTCAGTGTATTAATTGCCTTCCCTTATTTCATGGGAACTTGCCATGTGCTCAAGTTTCCAGCCTGATGAGATAAAAAAAAAAAGAATTCCCCTTGAGACTGCTGTTGATTATGAGCAGGAAACAACTTAGGTATAGTAATGGGCAAAAAATATGATACTCTTGCAAAACTGACTGTTGACACAGTTCTAATGTCGTCTCAAATCTTGTCCTATTTTCTATGTAAATTTTATAATAAAGAGCATTGTATTGCTTAGGCTGTTATCAGGATTAATAATATTAATGTTCCATTTCTACACATATTAGTAATTTCCGCTTTACAGCCATGAATTTTCCAGATATAATATAAAGAATTTGTTTCAATTGTCATATTCTCAGCTGTTAACACATACACAATAAGAATTTTTCATCCATGTTACCTGCCATGTTTAAATTGAAACCTAGACCTAAGGTCTTCTGGCTGTAATGCCTTATGGTTCGGTAGGCGTTCACCGAAGTTTCGGAGAAGTATATCATCTTTTCTTTAGGTTCAAAAAATTTTCTGAATAAGGTATGGCTGGTTTCTTGCTTGTCTCTCTGTTCGGCCCTGAAAATATAAACCATACATTCCTCCGAAACGTCGGTGAACTTCTCCTGGACTATATTGCTCTACATTCAAGATTGCAATCATGAGAATAGAAGGTGATTATAGATTTCACCCAGTGGGAACCTGGTTTCACTTTCTACAGTAAGAATTGCTTTACTTAAGTGTTGCATGAAAAGATTTCAACGACTTTTTGCAAGTTTTATGTGAGTTCACTTAAAATATATTGACATTTGACAGTCAGGGATTATTTAGAGAATCCCAATGAAAGATCCTTCAGTAATTTATTTAAATTACTTTTGTGTTTCGTTTCCAGGGTTAGTAACATGGCTCCCTCGACAGTCTGAACTGGATGGATAATGAATTTCTGAACAATATTTACCACAATACATGGCGTGTACATATAAGAGAATAAACCCAAACAACTATCTACTGTTGCAATAATTGCTGTTGTGTTACACCTCTCCTAGACTAAACATTGAAAGGATATTCACATTTGAAGGTACTTTTTATGGAAGACATGAATTCTCACAGCCGTGATTGTGGAGAATAATATATTCTGGGATGTTACGCCGTGTAGTCTACTAGTAGTCAACTCCTGTTCTTCCGAAACGTCTGCAAACTCCTACCAGAGTACATGGCAACGAGAATGTAGAATTCTCCAAATGTTGCGGCCCCATCTGGGGCTTGCGACCAGATCTTTATTAGTGGTTGACAGTTACTGTCCAGTGATTGAGACTAGCTCTTTCTAAGGGGCCCAAGTGAGTAGGTTAAACCTTCCCTATACACCTGAAGACGGAGACAGATCCAGTCTCCGAAACGTTGCGGTTTTTTTGTCTTTTTTATATACCGGACGATGGGTGAAGTCCAAAATAAGCCAAAAGAAGTTACGGTCTTGTTTTTGTTGGCGCCCTCTCTGACGAGAGGACGGGTCTATCTTTTGTATATGCTACTGGTCTTTGGCAGCGCAGTCTTTCTCTGGTCCGAAACCCTTGGTACTCGCGACCATATATTACTGTCTCAAATTTGAGACTTCACTTTTCGTCGCCTCCTACGACTCGCAGTGTCTCTCTATCATAACTGTCGAGGGCCCATATTTCTTCGTTTTATGGGTTGTATGTTAAAATTTTCTTCGGAATTCGCCTGTCTTCATTCGTAGAACGGGATATTTCGGCTTCATCCGGGCATTAGAATTTTATTATTTGTTTTTTTTTCAGCTCTTCCTTAATTTTAATATTTATTATGTGGGCCTTAATTTGGTAGCCAGGTTACTCCTCAAATTTTCATTTCTGCAGTTTTAATTTTTACCTTCAACTTCCCGTTATATTCCAAGGTTCGGATCTGTATGTAAGGATGTGTACCGCCATAGCTTCATAAACTTAGTAAGTTTTACAGCGGCCTCCGTAGTCTAGAGGCAACGTTCCCACCCCATGACTCGTAGTACGCGGGTTCAAATACCAGGCGGAGGTCGTCAAATTTTTAAGGGCGGAAAAATTCAGGGAACAAGTTCTC